GGTTTGATCCTAACACCCCATATGATCCCCGATCCCCACCAGGAATGATTCCTGAATGTATAGCCATGAGTAACCTCTGAGCCTGGTGTGGGTTATACCCTATATGTGGCCCCTAAACCAAAAATCTAAACTAAAATGAAGATCTGATCTTATTTGGGGGCTCTTGGTTCATTCCATCCACCTGTGTGTCTTTTATCCTAACACCAGGCTGTTCTGATTACTACAGCTTACTGATGTAGTTTATGGGAAAGGCAGGGGCCACACCTTTTGTTCATTTGTTTGTTTCAAAACTGCTTTGAGTATTCTTGGTCTTTTGTAGTACAGATATTAGAATTTGGGGTTTCTATTTCTGTGGACTATGATTTGGTTGGGTAATAAAGGCATTTTAACAATGCTTTCATTCTTCCCACCCATTCACAGACATATTCAGAAGTGCTAAGTGTTGGCATAAAAGAGTTTGTGTCTGTGGCCCCCTGCTAAGAAGTCAATGTTAGCTGCTGAGCGTGTCGACTCTGTGTATTTCTTTTTTTTTTTTAATTTTTATTAGTGAAACACCATGAGATACAGTTGTAGACTTACAAATTTTTGTGCTTGGGTTTCTATTGTACAATGATCAAACACCCATCCCTCCACCAGTGTCCATTTACCACCACCACTATCCCAGTATCCCTCCCTCCCCCCTCATCCCCTCATCCCACCCTGCTTCTGTGGCAGGGCACTCACTTTTGTTCTCTCTCTCCTATTGGGTGCTGTGGTTTGCAAAAGAGGAATTGAATGGCATTCATGTTTGGTCTAGAGTCTCCTTTCAGCATGCCCCTCCCATCCTGGGGGGATCCTCCCAACACCCCGCATTTGGTGCTCCCTTCTACATCCGGGCTGCCTTTACCCCTAGAGTGTGAAGCTGGCCTCCAAGCCATGGAGTAAACCATCTGGTATTTATCTCGGCTATTCTCGGGTGTTAGTCTCCTATTTTGTTACTTTATGTTCCCCAGATGAATGCAATCCTTCTATGTCTATCCCTCTCTTTCTGACTCATTTCGCTTAGCATGATACTTTCCATGTAGTACCACTTGTATGTAAATTTCATGACTTCATCCTTTCTGACAGCTACATAGTATTCCATTGTGTAGATGTACCAAAGTTTCCTTAACCAGTCATCTGTTCTCAGGTACTCAGGTTTTTTCCATATTCTAGCTATTGTAAACAGTGCTGCAATGAACAGACAACTGCAGATGTCACTTTGACTATACTTTTTTGCCTCTCTGGGGTATATTCCCAGGAGTGGTATTTCTGGGTCAAATGGGAGCTCAATTTCTAGTTTTTTGAGAATTGTCCATACTGTTTTCCAAAAGGACTGAATCAGTCGGCATTGCCACCAGCAGTGAAGGAGGGTCCCTTTCTTGCCACATCCGCGCCAACACCTGTTGCTTTTGTTCTTTTGGATGTGGGCCAGTCTCTGTGGTGTGAAATGATATCTCATTGTTGTTTCGATCTGCATCTCCCTGATGATCGATGATGTAGATAGAGCATTTTCTCATGTGCCTTTTTGCCATTCGGATTTCATCTTTGAGGAAGTTTCTGTTCACTTCATTGCCCCATTTTCTGATGGGGTTGGATGTTTTCTTCTTGTGGAGTTCAACCAGTACTTTGCATATCCTTGATATCAACCCCTTGTCAGATGTATATTCAGCGAATGTCCTTTCCCATTCCGTAGACTGTCTTTCTATTTTGGTCACTGCTTCTTTTGAGGTGCAGAAGCTTCTTAGTTTAAGATAGTCCCATTTGTCTATCTCTGATTTCACTTGCTTGGCCAATGGTGTGACATCTTTGAAGACACCATTAGCTTCAATGTCATGGAAGGTTTTGCCGACTTTGTCTTCTATGTACCTTATGGTTTCAGGTCTGATGTTGAGGTCTTTAATCCATTTTGATCTTACTTTTGTACATGGCATTAGGCAGAGATCTGAGCCCACTTTTTTGCATGTAGCCGTCCAGTCCATATACTCGACTGTGTGTATTTTAATGATCATGTGAAAATTAGATGAAGAACTTGGTAGTGTCTCATTCAGTAGCTCTGGGCCAATAAGGTATTGACCTGCTCAGAGGCAACGATGCCAAGGCCTGATTTTCAAGAACTGAGTCTGCAGGTTTACACATGCAGCCTCGCAGCTCTGGCTCAGCCAACTCCAGAGGCAGAGCTGGGCTGGGAGTCAGGTGCCGTGGGGGAAGTTCTGCCCATCCCCTGCCTTGACTCTGCCCCCAGGGCTTACCCCTGCCCTGGAATGGACAAGTTGTCCTTGAAGCCCAGTGGATGCTGTAGTTCATGCACTGATGGGTTCAAACTCGGGATTTGTGTGTCTGGAGGTGTTGGTGCCCTGTTTTCTGGAAACTTCTCTGCTAGCCCAACCTGCTGTGGGCAGTTTCCTTCTGTCCCTGACCTGGGACAGCTGGAGGGTGACCTGCAGGGGGAAACCATGACTTTTCTCCTGTTTTCTGGAAGGAATCTTGCCTGCTTCTTCCTTCTGCTTTTCTTGGGGGCTCTGTTGTGCTGTTTTGATGTAACCTGTGGGGGTCACCTTTCTCCGAGCCCCTGGGCTGATCTGAGCAATAAAGCAGCCCAGACCATGCGAGGTGCCTCAGGCTGGATGCAGCACCTGCACACTGGCTGGGCTGCCCGCAGCCAGAGAGTTTCAGGATCTGGCGCGTTCCTGTCCCGGAATATTGCGGTCTTGGCACTGGGATCAGAGCACAGCCAGCCAGCTGCGGCTGGGTTGAATCTGGGCATCTCGGCACTCTTGGGTCTGGTTTGGGGGCCACACAGTGCTCAGGGCTCCCTCCTGGCGGTGCTCAGGGTTCTCTCCTGGTGGTGCTCAGGGCTCTCTCCTGGCAGTACTCAGGGTTGTCTCCTGGCAGTGCTCAGGGCTCCCTCCTGGCAATGCTCAGGGCTCTCTCCAGGCGGTGCTCAGGGTTCTCTCCTGGTGGTGCTCAGGGTTTACTCCTGGAGGTGCTCAGGGCTCTCTCCTGGCGGTGCTCAGGGCTCTCTCCTGGCGGTGCTCATTCTACAGTGCTGGGGTTTGGGCCTGGAACCTCCCACACACAGAGCCTGTGATTCAGCCCACTGAGCTGTCTCTGCGGGCCAGGCTTGCTGATCTCTTTCGGGTCAATGTTTAAAGTGCCCAGTCCACCCCCATTAGCCACTCAGGCGGGTCTCATAGCAGGAATGTCATTTTGCTGTGCTGGAACCACACTTCTCCCAGCCCCTCTGAGAGATTGTTAGACACGTTGTCTGTGTCAGTGGATCCCAAATGCATGGACTCTCCAGCCAGAGAAGCAGCACAGCGGGTGGGGTGCTTGCCTTGCACGCCCATTCCAGCTTCCATTCCTGCCGTTGCATACGGTTTCCTGAGCAGCACTGGGACTGATCCCTGATCACAGAGCCAGGAGCAACCTCCCACCCAACCCCTCCTTTTCAGAAAAAAATAATTACCCATTGCTCCCTCCCCCAAGATCTGCCTTCTTTAAGGAAACAGAAAGAAAGTACCCACTTGATCTGGAGTGATAACATAGTAGGTAGGGCACTTGTCTTGTGTGTAACTGACCCGGGTTCAAACCCCGGCATCCCATAGGTGTGATCCCTGAGTGGAGAGTCAGGAGCAAGTCCTGAGCACTTACAGAAGTGGCAAACAACGATCACGATCACGACCACCCTGTTGTTCGTCGATTGCCTCGAGCAGGCCCCAGTAACGTCTCCTTCGTTCCAGCCTGAGATTTTTTTTTAAAGTGCCATATTCAAGGCTCTTGCAGGGTTAGGAGAATGAGACCCATCTTTGTTACTGGTATTTGGCATATTGGGTATGCCACGGGGAGTTTGCCAGACTCTGCCGTGTGGGCAGGCTACATTCGGTAGCCTGCCAGTTTGTCCAAAGTAGGAATGAGATGATAAGATGGCAGCTTCCGGGAGCTGAGTGTGATGATCTCTGGATCCTGGCCGTTGTTGGGGTTACAGGGCAGTTGGTGGGTGTAACTGTCTAGCTACTGGCAGGTCCAGTCCCAAACCATGCAGGCTTGGAGATCTCAGCCCCGGGTCCCACACACCTGGGTTCCTCTGCCAGTTCTTTTTTTTTTAATTTATTTTTTTATTAGTGAAGCACCATGAGGTACAGTTGTAGATTTACAAATCTTTGTGCTTGGGTTTCGGTCATACAATGATCAAATACCCATCCCTCCACCAGTGCCCATTTTCCACCCCCATGCCCCCCTCCCACCCTGCCTCTGTGGCAGGGCATTCCCTTTTGTTCTCTCTCTCCTTTTGGGTGTTGTGGTCTGCATGAGACTCATCCAAGTGTGTGGAGAGTGGTCCCAGAATGGCCTTGGCTGGGGCCTGGAGGTCTTCAGCTGTTGGGCCGTGGTGGGGACAGTAAGGCACAGGGTAGGAGACTCTGCCTTGTTCTCTCCCGGGAGCTGAGTGTGATAATCTCTGGATCCTGGCCATTGTTGTTGGCAAACAACAACCAAAAAACCAGCAGAAAACAAAAGTACCTGCAATGGAACCCAAGACTACTTCTGCAGCCCCCATCTCAGCCCATTGACCACTCTCCACTCTGGCTGGGGGTGGTATCGGCAATCTGAGAAACAGGGTCTGTTCTCTGCACTAGGGCGGCAAAGCTTCCTAAGGAACTGCAGCAATCACCTAGCTGACACCACCCCCCCCCCCCCAGCCTCCAGAATCATGCTCAGGTAGATGCTCTGAGTCTGGCTTGTATCCAGGGAAGCACTGGGCAAGGGGGGGGAGGGGGGAGCTGTCCAGGTCACCTGCCTGGTGCAGACTTGCTCACTGACACCCCACATGGTCGGTTCTGTGGATCCACAAATGCATTGAATTTCCAGCCAGAGAAGCAGCACAGCGGGTGGAGGCCCCTGGTGGACTGTGAGGGGCAGGAAGCTCTGCACGAGACACACACTCATGAGCAAACCCTTTCGCTCTTTCTCACGTTGGAAAGCTTCTCACAAGTGCCAGCCGGCTCAGTGAGTGATGAGACTAACGACAACATCACCGTCTTCACACGGATCCTGGACGGTCTCCTGGATGGCTACGACAGCAGACTGCGGCCGGGGCTCCGAGGAGAGGCTCCAGGGCTCCAAGGTGAGGCTCTGGGGTGCTTGGGAGTCCCTGCGGGCGTCTGCATGAGTGCTCTGCCCCCCCCCCCCCAGGCCCACATGCCTCTGGAGCTCTAAGCAGGGCCCTGCAAACTCTTTCCTGATAATCCCCGTCTCGGTTCTGATGCGCTCCAGGAGAGGCTGGCTGTGAGCTGAGAGGAGGCTGAGTGAGGGAAGAATTTTCTCTCCTTTTCCCACTCTCTGTGCAAGTCCCTGCCAGAAACCCCAGCTCTGCTCGATCCTTCCTTGTAGCCTTCTCTATGGTCTGTTCCATTTTCCACTAGGGTCCAGGTCACAGCAGCCACTTTGGAGATGATAGAAATTCAGAGACAGTTTGGGCTAGAGTGATAGTCAGCGGGGAGGCAACTTGCCTTGCACATAGCCCACCTGGGCTTCGATTCCTGGATCCCAGATGGTGCCCAGAGCCCCACCAGGAGAGATCCCTGTGCAGAGCCAGGAGCAAACCCTGAGCACTGCTGGGTTTGCTTCTGATACAAGAAAAAAAAAAAGAGCGAGATCATGAAAGACAAATGGGCTTTTGGGCAGGCAGGGGCGGCTTTGTTTGTGACCTTTGTAGGCAGGGAACACCCCAGAGGCCAGAGAGTGTCCACAGGGGTCCTTGAGCCTGCTCTCGCAGGAGAGGTGCTGTCTCCAGCCAACCCACTCTTGAGTGGATAAGTGAGCTCCACGCTGCAATTTTGTGTCTGCAGTGGGGTGACTCACTCGAGTGAATCCTGTCTCACTCGGGACTGTGACCCCATGTTTCTGCCCAGCAGCTCCTGTCCCTTTGAGCAGATCACCGAGGGGCAGAGCATTGAGAAATTTCAGGAGTGGGGCGGAGAGATAGCATAGTGGGGAGAGCACTGCCTTGCACATGGCCGACCCAAGTTTGATCCCCAGCACCCCATATGACCCCTGAGTACTGCCAGGAGTAATTCCTGAGTGCAGAGCTAAACATTGCCGGTGTGACCCAACGCCCCTCAACAACCCCTCCAAATTATGGGAGCATCCCTAGACTGTTCCCACGGAGCGGGCAGAGGAAGGGTCCCTGCCCAGCCCCCAATACCTGTGCACTTCCCAAGAGCACCTGAGGCAGGCAAGTGCTAGTCCTCTGCTATACATGGGCTGTGTGTGTTGTTGAGGGTCTCCATGTAAGAGCCATGGCGGAGGATTGGGGGCCTGCCCATGGGTGTCAGTGTTACTCTGACTGCCTAGAGGGTCCATGGAAGCATCAGGGCAGACAGATGGAGGCCTTCCCTGGCCCAGCAGGACCCTTGCTCACAGTCCCTGTAGCACACTGTGGGGAGAGGTCCTGGGTGGGGTGGCCCACCTGGAATCCACCTGCTTTTGAGTTCCATTTATGGGGGAGCAAGGCTGGGGTGGGGGGCTGTTGGATGCTCCGGAGCATCCCAGGAAACCCTAGGATCCACGAATCTGTCTATGACTGTCCCTGGGGGCAGGAGGATGGGGGGGTCATGTGACTGGGAGCAGGGCAGGGGCATCCTGGGGCACGTAGTGGGCTGTCCCCAGTGCCCAGAAGCCCGTGTTTGTTTCTAAAGAAATCACCCAGGTGAGGACGGACATCTACGTCACCAGCTTCGGGCCCGTGTCGGACACGGAGATGGTAGGTGCCCCGCAGCCCCTCCCTCCGCGCCCATCCCCAGCCTCCCAGGCCCCCGCTCACAGCCCTCTGCTCTAGGAATACACCATCGACGTGTTCTTCCGGCAAAGCTGGAAGGACGAGCGGCTGCGCTTCAAGGGCCCCATGCAGCGGCTGCCGCTCAACAACCTGCTGGCCAGCAAGATCTGGACCCCGGACACCTTCTTCCACAATGGCAAGAAGTCCATCGCACACAACATGACGACGCCCAACAAGCTGCTGCGACTGGAGGACGACGGCACGCTGCTCTACACCATGCGGTCAGCGGGGGGCACTGGGCACGGGATGGGCACGCTGCTCCACACCCTGTGGTCAGCGGGGGGCGCTCGTGGCATGGGATGGGCATGCTGCTCCACACCATGCAGTCAGCAGGGGGCACTCGCGATCTGGATGGGCACACTGCTCTACACCATGTGGACAACACTGGCCATGGGACACACGGCGAGGGCGATGGGGAAGTATAAGAAGCACAGGGGACACTGGCGGGGGGCGGGGGGGGACACTGGGTTCTGGACCCATGGGGTGTGCTGAGAACACACGACCTGGGTCTGATGGCACAAGGGACATGGGGCATGCAGCGGGGACATGGGCACATGGGCACACAGGGTCTCAGAGGGGTGGGCACCCGCAGACACAGGGGACGGGGTCTCTGGGGATGGACGGAGGGCTCGTGGGGAGCTGGAGGCTCTGGGGTTTAGCAGTGACCGTTTCCTGGGGGGCAGCACAGGGGGTGGAGGGTGGAGGGAAAGGCAGGGCCTGGGGAAAGGGGTGAAGGCAGCTGCCCCGCTGACCACAGCGCTGCCGGATGCAGGGAGTGGGGGACCTGGTGGCGCCAGCTGCGGGCTATGATAGGAGTTACAGGGAAGGGGTGACGGGGTCCCGGCCATCCACACTGCTGCTCTGAGTCCAGCAGCCGGGAAGTCCGAGTGTGCGAGGCCCGATTTCCCTGAGCCCCCACACCTTGTCCTCGCCTGGTTGCAGAGGTGGGAGGGCCGGATCTCCCCTGGATTCCCTCAGAATCAAAGGCTCCTCTGGACCGGAACGCCCGAGGCCATGAGATAAGGGGCATCTGTCTGATTTAAAAATAGGATTTCAAAGAAAATATCTAAGGAGACCCTTGGTGGAGCGCAGGCCCCACCCTTGGAAGGTTTTCTCAACCAAGGCCTCCTGGGGTGGGGGTGGGGGGGTTCCATGCTGCTGCCGGGTTGGCTCTGAGCACATCTCATTTAAAATGACCATCACTCGCTTTCTCTACTCTGAATTATTTAGTGCATCTGAGTAGATCAATAGATTGACTGCTGTGGAAGGCGCCTTTCTAGCTTTTCAGTTTCAGGGTAGGTCTAAGACCTGAGAACAATGCTGTGTGTGAGAGAGGAGGGAGAGGAGGGAAGCAGAGGGGAAGAAGGGTGCAGCCGAGTGGAAAAGAGGTGAAGAGAGAAGCGAGGGGAGGGGAGGGGAGGGGACAGGACTTGTTCTCTTAGCCATGGGCTGTGCCTCTCAGCCTGTCTCCAGTCCTGGGAAATGGAAGTGCAGAGTGGGGGTCTCGAGTGGACGTCGGCATCCTTTGTAGCACGTGTGTGTCCTGATGGAGCCGGTAGTGAGAAGGGCCGAGAGTCGAGTGGACGGGTCACACAGGGCAGTGAGAGGGGTTGAGGGTAGAGTGGACGGTGGATGGGCCACGTAGCATAGTATCTTGCCCCCCCCCCCACAAGCATCCCGGGGCTGGGGCATGGTGCTGGGGCCTGAAACAGTGACTGTTGTGAAGTCTCCCAGGTCCCTGGGCTCATTCATGTCCAAGTCTGTCCCACATAATGTCGAACATGCGGGAGAAATGTAAAACTACCCCCGCTTTCCAATGAAGACTGCTTTTTAATCTGTGACTTTTAAAATGAGATTTTAATGTTTGGACATAATCTTGCTTTTTTTATCTGATTGGTCTTGGTTGTTTTTAGAATTTACTTATTTGTTTCTTTAAGACACTGTGATTTACAAAGTGATCCATGGTTGAGTTTCGGCGTGCAGTGTTCTAGCACCGGAAGATTAGGGAACACGAGCACAGGTGTGACATGTATGACATTGGTGTGCAAAATCACTGCACCACCCTCCCCACCCCTCACCCCCAACTCTTAAGTGTTCATAGCCCTTTGGCACATCTCCTAAGCCGCGTCCTTCATTTCTTTGTGCAGTAGGGAGGCACCCCCGGGGGACTGAGTGAGGTTCCTCCATGATGCTGTGGGCTGAGCCTGAATCTCCACCTGCAAGCCGGTGCTCCACCCTTTGAACCATCTCCCTGGCTGCATCTTTAACTTCTTATTCAGACTCTGGACTCAGTTAAGATGACAACCTACGTATAGTGAACAAACTAACCAGGGTTCCCTGGTGTCTGCCACTTCGGAGGCAGATGTCTGGAAATCTTTTCTGAGAGACCCTTCCTGAATCCCACAAGTGGCTCTGAAGAGAATTGTCCACAGGATGCTGGAGGAATGGAAACTTCCCGCTGGCTTGCAGAGTGATTTCAAGCAGCTGCCTAGGGTCAGCACAAAGGAATTCCTACAGAAGAGGAGATTCCCCCAAATGTTTGGGGTTAAGTGTCAGATGCCTCTACGCCTTCTAGGCCCCGGGAGAGGGGGTGTTGCTTGGAGGAAACCCACCATCGATGGTTTGTCTGCTGAAAAGAGACGAGAACCATTTATGGGCCAGGGAGACATCTCAAAGCTAAAAACAAACAAAAAAAAAAAAAAAAACGCTTCATGTTTAGCAGCTGTCTCCTCCCTGCATCCTGCGGGATTCCCCCAAGTACCACTAGAGGGACCCAAAAAACAAAAATAAAATGAGCAAACAATCACTCTCTCCCTTGCTCAGAACCTTAGAACTTCCAAGAAGAGGTGACTCCTGGCTCTGCACTCAGGGATCTCTCCTGGTGGTGCCGGGGACCAGATGGATGCTGGTGGTCAAACCCCAGGCCAACCCCTCTTCCATCTCCCCCACTGTCCTATCACTCCAGTCCCTACTTTGAGGGAATTTCTACTTGAATTTTTTGTCCATTTTTTAAAGTTTTTGTTTGTTAAAGAAGATTTGGGGCCACAGCCAGTTGTGCTCAGGGCTTACTCCTGGTTCTGCACTTAATAGACAGACTGGGAGGGACCAGACGGGGTGCCGGGGGTGGGGTCACTGCTTCGCCTCCTTGGAAACTGGAAGGTGCCATTCCTGGCATGGCCACTGGAGGGCAGCCGACTCCCAATCTCGCATGGATGTGGCCCTGGTGGGCCAGCCCTGCCTGTGAATGCAGGTCTACAGCAGGCCCTGCAGTGTCTGCACATATGTGCCCTTCAGGTGCACAAGTCTGTCTGTGCACACACAGCTCGACAGGCTTCTCAGGGACTGCAGAGATGCCTGCTGGGCTGAGCACAGGTTTTGCACAGGGGAGGTCAAGTTCCAGCCTGGGAAGCACACGGTCCCGAGGGCAGAGCTGGGAGGTGCCCCTGACACCCCGGTGGCCCGGGACCAGAGAGGGTCTGTCATGATGTGCGGACTCTGACTCTGTTGACCGGCTTTAAGGTCACCCGGACACTCCTGCAGGGATCCAAAGGTGATTGGAAATATGCTCAAAAGGCCGCTAGGCCACAGCTCTGAGAGGCAGGGTTCCCGGACCGCAGCTTGAAGGGACCAGCTGAGTTCGGTCCTAGGGACTGTTTTGAATTGGAGGAGGGTCTAGGCAAGCATGAGAGAGGAGACTTCCCTCTCTCTCCCCCCCTCCCTCTCTCTCTCACATTCCATCCTCTCTCCCGCCCTCTCCCCCTCCCTCTCCCCTCTCCCCCTCTCCTCTGTCTCTTCCTCTCCCCCTCTCCCTTGCTGGCTCGCTCTCTCCTCTTTCTCTCTCCCTATCATTCTCCTCCTCCTTTGCTTTCCTTCTTTTGGTTTTGTTTGTTTGTTTGTGGGGGGCCCCACCCAGCATTCTGTGCTCAGGGATTGTAGGAGAACATAGCTTTGCCCTTCTTCCAAAAAAAGCTTAGGTTTATCTGGTTACACCCATCACAATGCTCCTGAGGCACTTCCATTCCATTGTGTTTATCTGTAAACAGTCTTCCCTATGCTCTCCTCCACACCCAGTTAATGAGCTTTCCCCTTAATCAGACTCTGTTAATTTGTAAGGTCATTTCATTTTTCATCATCCTGTTATTCGTCGATTGCCTCGAGCAGGCCCCAGTAACGTCTCTTTCATCCTAACCCTGAGATTATATTCAAGGCTCTTTAGGAGAATGAGACCCATCATTGTTACTGGTATTTGGTATATTTGGTACACCACGGGGAGTTTGCCAGACTCTGCCCTGTGGGCAGGCTACATTCGATAGCCTGCAAGTTTATCCAAAGTAGGAATGAGATAGTAAGATGTCATAAAAGATGTCCTGAGAAGATGTCGCAGGGCCACTGAATGCGGCTGCGTGGTTCCAGGATTACACGGCGCCAGGGGGCCAGGTGGTGGGTGTGACACCCCCCCCCCCCCTACTGGAATTTGGAGGATCTGGGTGGAGGATGCTCGACTCCAATCTGAGTAGGCTGGGAGATCTCGGCCCCGGAACCCGCGTGGCTTTGTCCCTCTGCCAGTACCTTCAGGTGTGCGGAGAGTGGTCTCAGCATGGTGGTGGCTGGTCCTGGAGGTCTTCGGCTGCCAGTCAGTTTCCCAGAAATCTATGATTTTATATGTATGAGTGAAATATTGCCTTTCTCCTCTCCTTATGCCTTATCAACACAGTTTACTTGAAAGCAATATCTTTTTGTATAGATACAGGAAGACCGTTAACATTATGCTCTGAAACTTAGGATTTAATTGGCCTTGAATATTATTCACTCCCGGGCATCTGCTTTCTCGACTCAGTTGCCCTTAGTTCCTAACACCCCAAAAGCAGGGTTCCGACGAGGGACTGAATGAACCCAGGGCAAGTGGTGAGCTACCCTGGCAGCGAAATGGGCCAGGCCAAAGTGCCACGATTCTTAACTATAAGTTAAGAGTTTGATCATAGACAAATGCTGTCATGATCCAAAGGTAACGATGAGACTAGGATTCTGCTAGGGGTGGGAAAGACTATCTGGCCTGAGCACTGTAGTCTGAAATCGAGATGGCCCTAGGAGAGCAATTCTATAAGTTTAAGATATTTCTTACTGTATCCATACAAAATGATTTATGTCATATATGCTTATATGCTTGTCGGACAAGGAGAGGAGAGACACACCCTTGGGATTCCACTCTAGGGTGGGTCCT